AGACGCGGCTCAGAAGGGATATCGGTCTGTAGTTCTTCAAGAGGGCATTGTCACCATTCTTGAAAAACAAGACCACCGCACTTCTGCTCCATGCCTCCGGAGTAGTGCCACAATAGAGGACAGAATTAAAGAGCCTCTGAAGGACTTCAAATACAACCGGTATCATTCCACCCGATTTAAGAGGTGCTGGAGAGCCATTCTAATCTCGCTCAGACTAACGTCCGGGATATCATCGGAATAGTGTCGGATAAGACTTGCTCTTGAATCGTTACTCACACTTGCGTGTGGCTCCAACGATGATATGTACAACTGCCCATTGAACCTCTCAATCAATCAATATCAAATACAATGATGTGTCTTATCTGGATTGAAGAGCTTTGTTAAACATCTTTAAAGCCAATCTTTAATATAATAATATCAATAAAACAATAATAATAATAGTATTTAAAAATTTTAATCATAACAATAATGATAATTAGTAGCAGGTTTGTTATAGCACGGCGCGGTCTTTCGCTACTTTGGTGGGGGAGCGATTATATCGGCGTGTATAAATAGCAGCTGTTTCGGCTCGCCGCTCACTTAGGGGTCAGCCGCCGTAGAGTCTACATTACCTGAAGATGCCTCGTGTAGAGGCGAAACACGTGTCGTATTATTGTCGGTGGTGTGTCTTGCCTGGAATAGTGGTGACGGAGTTAGTGCATGCAATTGAGGGAGGGCGGGAGGTGCTCTTCAATCCAGGTAAGACACATCATTGTATTTGTTTAGCGGAAGGTTGCGAAGAAATTTATATTTCTATTTTTTATTATAATGGATTTCCGCAAAGTAACGCCTGATTCTATCAATTATCTCTCAATCTCACTCAGCATCTCAGTCTCAGCTTTGACAATTGGCTCTTACTGGCAGACAGATCTCTGGAAAAGACTTTGGAGCCCTGGTTCCACTCAATTGTTTCTTCAATACGAGCAGTATTAAATTTGCGTAAGTCTTGCTGCATGCATTTGAAGATCTGTCTGTTCAGTTACCTGTATGCTGTCAAATCTGTTGACGAACAGCCATGAGATTAAAAGTGTCATCGAAGAGTTTTTGTGTTCTTCTGCGACCGGTCTTGCAGAACTTAGCTTCGACCGCATGGACAGTTTCCATAAGCTTTTTATATAATTTGTTTCCATAAGGAAAGTAAAGAAAAATTACTAAAAATATACCTACCCTAAAAACTGTAATGTAACTGCACCAAACTTAAACACTGAAATCTTTGGAACATTATCATCTAGTGTAAAAACTAGAGACGAGAGACTTAGGGAGAGACAGAAACAAATTGGTTATATTATATCAAATTTAAACAGCATCCTAAAGTAATTGTTCTTTAATAATGATGCCAAAAATTAAAGGAAAATTGATAGCCTCCTTTGTAAGTTTCATGGAGTCAGAAACTCGAAGAACTGTGATATTATCAGGGTTCAAAAATTATTAGATACAGCTTCGAAATATGTAAAGTATAAGGCGTTTCTTCTGTTAAGGAATAAAACCGGAACATCCTCGAGTTGCTTAGTCCCAGGATGGACATGTGCTTTTTAAGGAAACAGTGTCAAGTCAAGATAATCGCCAGAATGCGCAATTTATTTTAAATTAATCCTAGGGCTTCTGAAGCAAAATTACGATTCGGTTCGGAGTAAGGTTTAGGAATGTTTTAAGCCCGGTGTGTTAGACCAGATCTTAAGTTATTTGGTGTGATGAAGAGATTCAAGAGTCAATAGCGCTAGGCTTTTCTTAGATTCCACAAAATGACTCGGGTAAATATTGTGTACCCTTTGAGCCTTCCCGTGCAAGCTTTTCAGAGAGTTCATTGTCTATTTAAAATACCCTCGTTTCGTGGAATCCATCTAAGAACGACCCTATTGTTACATCCCAGGGCGTTTAGACGGTTCACGCAGTGTTCATATAGCTTTGAGTTCACAAGTTTGACCTCAGCGCTAGCAGTGCCGCTTGAATGTCAGAGTTTATATAGGTTGTATAGTTGACGTAGGGCATTTTCAGATTGAATACTGCACAACGAAGTATGGCGACGATTTCTTCCTGAAAGATATAGGTGAATCTACCTAAATTCATACTAAGTTAATTTGGGGTATTCCACATAGATTCCAAAGCCTACGTCCAGGCCCATTTTTGACCCATCGGTATAGTACCATATAAGGCTACCGACATTACAGATGACCTGGCCATTTAATCAGTCTTCCCTGGAGGGTATTTCCACTGTATACATTTTATTTAATGTGTTTAGTGGACTCACGACATCTGAGATCATGCATTAAATCGGTGATTCCTTAATTGAGTCTAGCATGGGTATTAATCTTTCAGAAAGCAAGCTCACACCACCCTGAGCGTTAATCCTATAGAAACATGCTCTCGCATCTTTGCATAGGAGTGCATTTAAAGCCGCTCCAGGCGATAATCGCGTCGCTACAGTTGCTATAAAGCAGGCAGTCTTTTGTAGACTATTTTGTCCGTTCATAGCCGTCTTTTAGTTGGCATTATTACCCCAGACAGTGGAGGTGTAGGTAAGAATCGGCCTCTTTATTCTACTGTACGTTCATAGAATCATACTGAAACGCCAACCCCAGTTGTTTACGACCAAAAGACTGCATGTACCTAAAGCAATTTTAGCCTTATGACATATGTTGCTATGGTGAGAGTTCCATTTTTGTTTTTAGTCGATTGTTACACCCAAGTAATTGACTTCAGTGAAGAATGGTAGTTTGTTACCTTTGAGTTTTAGTGTGACTAATTTATCTAACCGTCCCTTTTAGTAAAGGGTATTTTACTGTATAATATAATAATAATAAACTGTTATCCCTACACCAATTATTCATGGTGTTTAGGGCTCTTTTTATGATTATAGATTTGTGTGTCAGTGTGAAGGTCTGCCATCTTGTACAATAGTTGGTCAACCACAAGTCTTCAAAGAAGGGGTGGCAAAACACCTCCTTGTTGACAGCCTCTTGTAGTTGTAACCTCAATTGAAGTTTGTGACAGCGCTATTTTTGCCTGTTTGAGGTGCCCAAAATACCTATAAATGTACTACAAGATCTGCGTAGGGCTCTAAAAGAATTCAAGGCAAAAGTCTTATGTGATCCATAGAAATGGATTGATATTAGTAAACTTACCATCGGGCTTTTTGAGAAGCCAAATTTGATTTGGTTTAGCTTTTGATAGCATTTTATTTAATCTTTCACTGCAAGGCAAAGACTCAGCTTTCTCGCATAGCTTCCTCAATGATGGTCACTTAGTATTCCTAATTTATTTATTATATTCGGTTAGGGCTGCACTATAAATACTCCTTTCTTTGGTTTTTTTAGCCCTGCTGAATTGTTTCCTACTAAGCTCCCTTAGCTTAGAAATCCACCAAGGAATTTTTCATGTTGAGGCCTTGGTTTTAACGGGACAGTTGTCCTCTAAGGCTTTACGGATAACTACGGTTATTGTATCCGTCGCTAGCGCCAGACCTTTAAACGTTTTGACGCTTTTAGGAAACGTTTTCACATTCCTCCTTGGGCTATCTCTGTACACATCCAAGGAAGTCGCTTTTGGATCCCTAGAAGCAACACTTTTATAAGCTGGTGATGCTCTAATTACAAACTTAATGTGTTTGTGATCAGAAGTTGAGTTTTCACTTCTAACATTCCAGTCAGTTATCTGTCTAGATATGTTATTGGTAGTGTAGCGGCGCTGTCGTCGAGCTACAAGCGAAACACACCGAAGCACACCCAAGCCTAAATCACGCTATGAAAATTCCGAATCATAAACAGTATATATTAGGTGGAACACTTTTATATGAAAAAAAGTTTTTTTTTTCTAGAATATTTTTGGAATACCATGTAAAAGTTGCTTTATGTAATTGTAAATAATATACCTAAATATAAAAACTCTAACTCGACTGCTTGAACTCCCGCCATAGACTTGAAATTTCATTTTTCAAGTTTTTATAGACGCGTTGTACCCTACATACAAAATTAGAAGTAAATGCTATATGTTATGCATGGAAATAATAAAATAAAGATTATTTTCATTGATAAAATAGTTTATTTTAAATGTGAATACAGGTTAAAAAAGTTATATCTCTATGAATAATGTTATTTTTTAAAGCAGAAATCCTTTTTCGTCTCAAACTTTGGCATGACTTTTCGAGATGCTAGTTTAGATTTTATGAATCACTCTCTTCTTTTCTTTTCGCATATATTTAGAGCTGCTTCTTTCACAACTTCGACTGATCTTTCCACAGACTGGGTGTGGCAAGGCAGTCTCATAAACTCCAAAACTACATCTCCTCCATTTTCAATGATATCTTGCAACTGCTCATCAGAAATATTCTTTAGTATTGGCGGTTCGTATATATTTTGTTGCCAGGCAATCAAGTCTATGTAAGAACGTGAATGAAGGTTCACTTTTGGCACCTCAAACATGCGCGGAACAGAATTTTTATTAGCTTGACGAGCTTTTAAAATGCGTCTTGCAGCGAGTTCTCTAAAATGCTTCCGTGAATCTGTTATCATACTTAACAACATGTTTTCGGGATGAGCAAAGTAACTATTTCGAATTAAAACAGGGTTCACTATCGCTAATAACTCGCTGGGCAAATACCTAGTGCTGCTAATGAGCTTCCATAAATGTTTTGAACCATCTTTGTAGGATGATATGTGTTTTGATAGCAAACAAGACAGGGGCGTATGATTTTACGACAAACGTAGCTAAAATTACAAGATTTTCTTGTGGATTTTCAGTAGAAATATATAAACGCAGTATGCGATTAGCTCTTGTTAACCAGCGGGCATGGGATAGCTTACCTGGGCTTCGGTTTAATAAATCGGGAGAGCAGGATCCACTTATGACAGCAGTAATAATTTCTATTAAATATTTTTGGTCTGAACTGAGATCTGTTGTTATGTGTGGAGGTAGATCACAGTCTATCTTCTTAAAATGGGCCAACGACAACGTCTCGCATGTCTCTAATGCTTTACCAATTTGCCCTGCAAATGATTTAGGTCCTGAATGATTAGGGCATCCACATAGGTAAAAAAATGCCTCAATGGCAACTCATTGGCGTGTAAGAGACAAATTATCCATTGCAATGTTCGAGATAGTCTATTTTCCAAAAGACGAATCACGCCTCCCACTTTTCCTGTATTTTTGTTTGTTCCATCACAGCCAACTGCCAATATACTCTCTAGTGATATCTTTTCAATCGTCAAAAAGCTGTGGATAGCTCTTTCAATATTTCTTGCACTGCCCGATGCTGGCACAACATACCCAACGTAAACAGAACCTGATTCTTTTATAATCGAAATATGTTCCTCTTGTACAATCACTCTAAACCTCTTTGATCCTTTTAATACAGTTTTAGCCGTCTTGTCTTTTCTTTCATCGAAATATAATGCAGGAATTTCTTTAACTCTTTCTTTTGTTAAAAATTGCTCGCGTACTTTCTGTCTTATTCTTCTTAGTTTCATCCTGTCCACAACGTTAGTAGACTGTGCCTCAGAGTCGGCATCAGAAGCAGAACATAGAACCGATGATACGATAGCCGATGCAGCTCTGTCTGATACTCCGTACCTATCGCATACAGTCGTGAAACTATGAAGACTGGCATCCGTGAGCTTTATAGGCTTTTGATCCACTGTTTGAGTGGTGTCAATACCATCTGCGGCCGACGAGCAAGAAGGAAAGTCGACATTAGAACAAACTTCAGATCTATTTAGCCGATACGAAGTAGAAGGAATTTCTTTAATTCTTATATTTGAATTATGCCTGATTTCATGTTTAATAGCACGTAATTTTCTATTCTGCAATTTTTTACTCTGGACAAGATCCGTTCTTCCTAGAACCATTAGTCTGTTAGAGCGTTGGTCAAAAAATATTTGGTACTTTTTTTTTCTCTCACACAAGGATTGTCACGTGCCGACCCCTGCTTGGTCCCGCACTTTTCTCCTCTGTCCCAGCGCCAAAATATATTAAAATAATGAAATGTTTAATTGCAACAGTTTGTTAAATACTATATTTGAATATGTTTTTGATTAAAATAAACGAATTGTAATGAATTCTATACTATTTTGTAGGCTGTGTAAATAGCCCCTAAATTATCATGTTTGTAAATGTTTGGTGTCTTGGCGGGGTTTTTACCGCTGTCTGCTAATATTTATATTTTAAATGAAGCTAACTAATGTCATTAGGCAACATAATACAACTATTCCAAAATAAAATTCTGAATTTTTTTTCGTTCCACCCTAGTATATATAGAACATCTACACGGAGTGTTGGCCGCTCCCCGGGCAGAACACCTTGCCCGGCGAGAAATCTCCACTTTTCCTTCCACAGCCACAGTGGTGACCCCGACGTGATCTGAACACGCAAACAACAACCTTCGGAAACTTCAAGCTCCATCATCGTCATAGAATAGCCCACCCATTCGCTCCCGAGCAGATATCGTCTGCAGTCTTCGTATCCTGCAAGCCATCTAGCTTCACAAGGTTCATCGCAGCACTGGAATAATAATGATTCCTGTTCCTTAAAGCTACTCTCTGAGCTATACGGCACGGCTCTGAGCCTTACTACTCGCCTCTGCTTCACAGCACTCTCGTAGATTACTTGCCTTCTTCTCGACTCACTGCAGACTACAAGGCAATCTCCTGGCACTTGTATATTCGTCGGCAACTTGGCTGCACTATCGACCTCCGATCTGAGCAGGGGGGTGATGTAGCGCCACAAGTGAAACACACCGAAGCACACCGAAGCCTAAATCATGCTATGAAAATTACGAATCGTAAACAGTATATATAGAACATCTCCGAAATATCACACGGAGTGTTGGCCGCTCCCCGGGCAGAATACCTTGCCCGGCGGAAGGTCTCCCCTTTTTCTACCACGGCCATAGTAGCAAAGTGTCGCAAAAGTTGGTGTGAAACCTAATTTTAGGCTTACCGGGCGCTTTTATATGAGAAAGTTCGTTGATTTTAGTGTTTCCTCAGGCAGTGTGGTGAGCATTAGCATCACGTCCTATCACAAATTGTTTTTGGGCGCACTCTGACCTTTTCCTGCCCGTCCGTTGCCCGACTTCACTCACAACCCATTCACGGTTGCGCCCCACATGCCGTCTTAGCGATAGCCTGTGTTGGTGCCAGATGCACCAGCCGCATCTCCTATACACATATTGAACTCGAATTGAATTGAGTAGAAGTTGACCTTTTCCTCCTTAGTTGCCAGCTTCGCAAATTTCCTGGGTTGGTCTTTGGGGGACTCCTCCTCGGACCGACTGCGTTTTTTACCTTCGAAACCAGTGGAGGTTTAGGCAGAGGAATTTCGTCTCAGAGCTTTTGGCATGGAGAGCAGGCCTCTTAGGCTCTATCTCAGCTGCTATCAGCCTTCGGTTCTCCTTCCTTGCTGCCCCACTAAGCCTATAATGCCTAGCGTACTTTTTATTCCCTTTTCTGATTATTTTCCAATTGTGGTTCAGCTTTTTTATATCTCATAAAAACCTCATAATTTAGCGTCTACACATACTTTAGCTAAATGTATCAATGATATTTTATTGAAATCTTGCATAGATAACTCATTATTTACAGCTCATAGAATCAGACATTCCTCAACATCGTTAGTAAATTGCAGTGGTATCAATATTAACAATAAAAAGAAAACTAGTGGTTGAACCAACAGATTTAGTACATTTGCAAAATTACGTAATTAGCTATAGTATAAATAAGTAAAATGTTACTTTAATGGATAATTTTATCAACACTGAGTTTTTATTATTTTTTGTCTGTTCATTAAATAATTATAATTACTACTGCAATCTCATTCTTTAAACATCTTCATAGTAAACACAGACTAACTTCAAGTAAGTTAGTCTGTAAGTGAACTTCGGTCGACGCCTCGTATGTGTACAACCCTCCCTTATATAATGTGAATATATAGCCCCACTCATAGATTGATGAGTTTAGTTATTTTGCTTTTATTCTTTGAACTCAATGATTAGTATTGGTGCTGCGAGCTATAGTATGCTCAAGAAATTTCTTTTTGTTTAATAAGCTTTGAATTCTCATGGATTGCCCATGATGAGACGTTACTACATAGTAAGTATAACACAGACGCGACTTGAAGCAAAGACGAGGCGTTAATTTCAAATAATTATGATCGCATTTTACTTATAGGTGAATTGCTTCCACTTTCAATGCATGGACCAAGGTATATTTAAGGGTCTCGTGGTGCCCAAGCCTCAAAATAGCTTTGAATTCAAGGTCACGGATGCCACCTATGAATGTCTAAACCAGGTTTCCTGCAATGAGTACAGGTAGAGACCGGTATGTTTTTCGAATCAGCTTCTATACCTCAAGTGCCCACTGCTGCAGGTTTTTGTTGCTGCGTTGCACGCGATCTTTAAACTAGGCACGAAGGACGTGTCCCAGGTAAGCGCTGCCATATCTCGCTTCCAATGTCTCAAGGAACTGCTTGTAAGTCACTTTCTTACCGACAGCTTCCAGAAGAGGTAAGGCTTGGTTGTGCAGGCCTAGGGTAAGTGCAGTCATGGCCTGACTCTTATTCAACCATTTGCATCCATGATAGCCTCAAACTGGATTTTGTAAGCCAACCATGAAGAAGTCTCGTCAAACGGCGGCACATTGAATCCACGTAGCGAAGATGTTGAAGCTACCAAGGGAGCTGTAATTCCATCTCCAAGTTTAAGGTCGTCTAGCATTTTCTTCACGTCAGCCACCCCGTTGACCACCCGATTGCTCACGTGGTCGATTCGGATTTCAGCTTCCGACAGGCGGTTTTCGCGTTGAGAAACCCTATTCTTCTTCCTAATCTCTTTCCTGTAGGTAGCGTGAATGTTCTTTATGAGAAGCATCTGCTCCCCCTGAACAAGCTGCAGCCGCTCTTTGAACAGACTGGTCTGTTCCTCTTGTCAGCGAGCCTTTCCTGCAGCATCATCATAACAGCACCTAAGTCAGATGTTAATCCGTTGGGCTATATCGGTCACTCTGGTTTTACTGCGGATATCCTCATTTCTGAGTGTATCACGCAGAGAAACTCCGAGCATAGCCCTCTCTACAGCTCGCTGAGCGACTTTGAGCGTCCTCATACGGCCAGCAGTGAAGGACCACGTCTCTGTTCCGTAAGTCATCACTAGCAACACGCACTGGTTGTACAAATTGGTTTTCAGGTTTTTAGGTTTACCTGACGAGAAGATGCATCGTAATTTCCCAAACTCTGCCCAGCCGAGATGAATCCGTCGATTGACCTCTCGGTCGAAATTGGACTTACCTAGTCGGACTATTTGTCCCAAGTAAAAGTACTTGTCAAAAACTTCGAGCTTAGTGCTTCCAACAACTACCGGCATAGGTGTGATATGGACATTAAACATGATCTTTGTTTTTTCCATATTAATCTTAAGACCTATCCGTTGGGAGACACCATTGAGGTCATTGAGTATAATGTTTAAATCCTCCAGCGATTCTGCCATAAGAACTCTATCGTCAGCAAATCGAAGGTAAGTTATGTACTCGACATTTATGTTAATACCGTATCCTTTCCAGTCCAGTAGCTTGGAAACATGTTTCTAACGTCACCCTGTCTTACACCTCTCTGAAGTTGGATAGGTTTCGTACTCTGGTTCTATACTCGGATAGCCAACGTAGCCCTACCGTACAAACACTTCAGCACTTCGATATACCGACAGTCAACTTGGCACCGCTGAAGAGACTGTAACACTTCCGAAATGGAATCAAAGGCTTTCTCATAGTCCACATACGCCAGGCAAAGTGGCAGATTGTACTCTTCGGACTTCTGTACAAAAACCCTTTTCGGAAACCGACTTGTTCGGGAGGCTGGATATCGTCGAGTATGCGTGCGAGACGATTCGTAATGACTCTCGAAAACAGCACGTTGACGCGGCTCAGAGGGATATCGGTTTGTAGTTCTTCAAGAGGGCGTTGTCACCTTTCTTGAAGAACAAGACCACCGCACTTCTGCTCCATGCCTCCGGAGTAGTTCCACAATAGAGGACAGAATTACAGAGCCTCTGAAGGACTTCAAATACCGGTTTTCCCCCCGCTTTAAGAAGCTCCGCTGTAATTCCATCCTCACCCGGGGACTTGCCATTTTTAAGGTACTGGAGAGCCATTCTAATTTCGCTCAGACTAACATCCGGGATATCATAGGAATAGTGTCGGATAAGACTTGTTCTTGAATCGTAACTCACACTTGCGTGTGGCTCCAACGATGATATGTACAGCAGCCATAGAACCTCTCAATCTCACTCAGCATCTCAGGTGTCCCGGAAACGATGCTGCCACAATCAGTCTTCAGCTTTGACAATTGGCTCTTACTGGCAGACAGATCTCTCGCAAAGACTTTGGAGCTTTGGTTCCACTCAATTGCTTCTTCAATACGAGCAGTATTAAATTTGCCTAAGTCTTGCCGCATGCATTTGGAAATCTGTCTGTTCAGTTACCTGTATGCTGTCAAATCTGTTGACGATTGCAGCCTCATCTCCCGTCTAACAGCCATGAGATTAAGAGTGTCGTCGAAGAGTTTTTGTGTTCTTCTGCGACCGGTCTTACAGAACTTAGCTCCGACCGCATGGACAGTTTCCATTAGTTTGTTATTTACATCGTCCACCTCATTGCAGTTTTCTAGGCACTGAAAGTGGTTACGTAACTCGAGCTGAAAGGATTTGGGATTCTGGATTGACTTCATTAGATGATATCTAATGAAGTCAATCCAGACTCCTCCAACTTAACATTTAGGTTTAGTGTGCCTCTAACCATTCGGTGATCGCTGCCAGTTTTCACCCTTTCGATCACAGATACATCACTGAACAGTTGGGACCTGG